GCTCGAATGGCCCGCGATGCGTTCGTGACACATCATGATCTAAACACTACTGGCTGGGATAGTACACCGGCCTATCGGTGATTTCTGTGGAGACACTGGTAGAAGGGTGCGAATGTCGCAGAATATCCCCACTCCAGGACATGGTTGTCACGACCCGGATGAGCGTTGAGCCGGTAAAGTAGCATCTCTCAACATCGCCAGCGATGTACGATCCAGTCCCCACCCACCCGTCCACTGATCCATTCGCAGGCCCTTCTTGAAATGGTCCGCCAGATGATCCGCCCGCTCGGTCCAACTCTGCATCTCCGCATCGCAGAACCCACACCGACTCGTCACCGCGGTGCGAGTGGAGCGACACCCCTGGACCCTCGCTGCGGGCACCTTTGTGCACCGGTGGAACTTCCGGAGATGCTGGATCAGGTGGTCTTTGCGCGCGAATGTTCGCTCGCTCGGCGGTCGATCCGCGCAGACGTCGAATTCGTGCGACTCTAGGTGCGCAGGCGAGGGCCGTGGAGTTTCGCAAAACTCACATTCCACTGGCTCTAGATTATCAGGTGGAGTGGTATCAACAGTGCAGAACCACGACTCAAGACAAAGGTGCATACTTGACTCATGGCGGCACCAGTCGTGCTTTTTCTTGAAGGATCGGGAGCAAAACGTGCATTGGTATTGAAGGTCGCCGAGTGAGTGGGTGGATGAGGGCCTGCGTCGAAAATAGTGCCGGCGTCGACGGCTATCGGACAGCGGGAATGGGAAATGATCATCCGAGTTGTAGCTCCAAGCCGCTGAGGATGCCGTGTCGGACGATGCTTGAGATCGCGCACTCTCGAACTGTCCGCTCTCCACACTCGAGACCGAGTAAGCATGGCCGTCCCCGCGATGACTCGCCTCTACGCGCTCGCTTCGGCTGAGGCCACCTTCTGCTGCTGGGGGAAGGCTCGAAGTGGCGATGGCTTTCTGAATGACGGCTGGGGGGACTGGGTCTTGGTCGGGAGGAGACTTCTGCCATCGCTCCATAGGCGTCAAAGACGTGTACCTCGAAGTAGGCATTGGGGAGCTGCCACGAGGTGAGGGAGTGGCGGGGTTAGGCCGCGGGGTGCGGAACGCCATCTTCCGGCGTCGGCGGGCATTGGCAAACCAATTTGAGATCTGTCGCTCGGTGAAGCCGGTCTGACTGGCGAACTCGGCGCGTTGTTCATCGGTCGGGTAGGGGGAGTGCTGATTGCGATTGAACCAGTCGCGCAGAATTTTGGCCCCCTTGCGTGAGAAGCGCGGCCTCGCTTGCGTCTCAGCCTGAAGAGCATGGTCCGTCTGTCTTGCGGATGCTTCGAATCCGGGCTCTGAGGGGGCGATTCCTCCGTCGTGCTCTTCCGCGAGGCCGTGCAGATGACCGAACACTGGGGAGATGGTTTCGAATCCTGCAGCCTGGCGCTTCTCGCCTTGTGCGAGGCTGCACTCCCGGTAGAGCGCGACACAGCTGGAGCACGAGGTGACCGGGTTTGGGTTCGCGGAAGTGGTGCGCAGGATTAGACATTGTAGTCGGTGGCGTTGGCAGTAGCTGCAAGGCACGGGGGGTCGATAGGCACCATCCAGCCACTGGGAGACACTGACGAAGTCCTCATCAAGACGATTTGAATGAGCTGGGAGGGAAGGATCTGCTGCAAGTGAGTAGTCAAAAGACGCAAATGTATCGTGTTGCGAGAGATTGTCGGTGGAGAGGACGTCAGGTAGCTCGGTTTGCTGCACAGGGTAGTCGAACGATGAGTAATCGATGGGAAGTGCGAAAGACGCTGCATTGTCTGACAGCGGCTCCCATTCCAAGAAGCCATTACTGGTTTCTAGTGAAGGAGCGATATTCCAGGACGATGCGCCTGAGCCCGGTGACTGATCAATGAAATGGTTGGTCTCATCGAGAAGGCTCTCGAAGGATGGAGACAGAAGCGGGTCATCGAACGGGGAGGAATCATCCATCGCAGAATGCCAAGCGAGCAGAGGAGATTACATCTAGAGAAAGTATCGGTCTCGATCGATAGGAACGAGACGCGACGAGGTTGGAAATAAATCAATTAAAGAAGAGGAGTGAGAGAGGAAGAGAGAGAGAGAGAGAGAGAAAGGCAGATTAAGGCGGTGTTACACTCACCGCTTGCTGCAAGTGGCTAGGGGCACCCCACTGTCAATTGCCCCGCTGTCGCCCCCGCCCGCTATGAAGAGCTGACTAATCCATGCACCGTCTCTTGCCTGGTCTTGGAGGCCTCAGGCATTGGTTCATAGTTGGCCTTCAACTACTTCTTCCGTTCCTTAATGTAAACAACACCAAATCCAATGCAATTGTCTACATTCGAGGACTCATCCCTAAATAGTCTATGATACATTCAAGCTCATTGGCAAAATTCCCTACTCAACCTCTCAAGCATCTCTGTCAGTTGTCGCACACTGTTCACCTCTACCCATTCTTCTTTGGCATGCAATCCTTCGCCAGCCGGACCCAAGACAATACTAGGAATTCCGGCTTGTGTTAGAAGGGCAGCATCGCACCAAAATGGCACACTGACCACGGGTACAGGCTCTTCAAGAACCTTGTTGCTGATCTTAACCATTTGCTGCACGAGGGGATGACTCTCAGGGAGGTACTGGCACGGCCGCGAGAAAGTGATACGAGGCTCGCTAAACTGGAATTCGACGTTCTGCCTGTGGATCCGAGTGAGCAGGCCTCGCAACTCATCCAGAATGATCTCCTCTGTCTGTGCGGGCACAGTCCGGAACTCGACGGTCAATGAACAGCTGGCAGGATATGAGGATACCTCATCCCCACCATTGATCACTCCACAGTGCAGCGATGCCTGACCAAGTACCTCGTTAACTGGTAACTGCTGCTGATACTGCTTCAAGGCCTGCAATAACAAACCCATATTCATAATCGCATCAACACCGGCCGCGGGGTTCGAGCCATGGGCTGCGCATCCTTGGACTTCCAGCTCTACCCAGACAAATCCCTTATGAGCATGTGCTAGCCTCAGGTTAGTGGGCTCCAGCACCACCGCCCCGTCGGCTTTCCATCCAGCTTCGATCACATCCATCGTGCCTTGCGAGGCATCCTCCTCATCCGCCACAGCAGTGACGATCACATCCCCGGCAAGCCTCGATCGCTGAGCGCTCGCCAATGCAGACAGTCCTGCGGCGACTCCGGCTTTCATGTCAAGCGTCCCCCGACCGAAGATCGCCTGTCTGCCATCCTTCTCGCCAAGATGCCCACTCAGTCCGTTGCCTTCATACGTGCTCAAGGTCACGGTATCCACGTGGCCGTTGAACATCAGAGACTTCCCCCCTCCGGTTCCCCTGACGACGCCGACCACAGAAGGACGGCCGGGCTTGGTTTCCACGCGATGATGCTCGATGCCACGATGCGCAAACCACGCCGATAGGTAGTTGACGATATCTGTCTCGCCCGCTCCCTTGGCCTTGGACAATGTTGGGTTGGAGGAGTCAATTCGTGTAAGGGTCTGGGTCAACACAATCGGGTCATCTGACGAGACATCTTCCGGGACCTGGTATGGACGACGACCCTCAGTGCTCAGCAATACAATCACCGAGTCCGGAGAAAAGTACGTGGGAGAATCGTGCTCTGCTTTGAGACGCCAAATAGCTGCTAAACTGGCCGCACCGCATGGACCCGAGTCTACCCCGTTTGACGCAAGGTACTGAACGGCGCAGTGGCTCTCATAATCCGAAATCGTGACACTGGCGTCGACAAGTTTCTGCAAAACCGGCCAGGCGGCGGAGGACACCGTGCCGCAGTTCATACCGGCCATGATACTGGGACTAGTGACGATCGAGGTCGACTGTCCTGTTTTGAGACTCAGGTTCAGACAAGCAGCAGTATCCGGCTCGACAGCCACAAATGTCGCCGGGCTTGTGCGCGACTTAGAATAAATCGCGACCGCTTGGGCCAGCGATCCGACGCCCGCAGGCGAAACGACCAGGGTATTTTGCTGACCCAGCGCCTGTAGCTGCACATCTACCTCGTGCATCAACGTGGAGTAGCCCTCCACGATCCAGGCAGGGATCTCCTCATAGCCTTCAAAAGCCGTGTCTTGTACTAGGATTGCGTTCTTCGTCGCTTGCGATGCCTTGGCGGCCTCCAGCACGGCATAGTCATAGTCCCCATCGGCCACGATAACATCCGCACCCTCCGACCGGATCATTTCCTGGGTGTACGCGACCATCGTGCGAGGGACATAGATGCGTGCCTGTAGCGATAGTTGACGAGCCACCCAGGCCACTGCGCGACCGTGGTTTCCTTCCGTGGCGGCCATCAACGTGAAAGGCTCGCCCTCCCGGATGCGCTCCGTCAGGGTGTCTAAGGACGTCTCAAGGGGGAGGTCGAGCAGTGCCAGAAGCGCCCGGTAAATGGCCCATGAGGCTCCCAAAACTTTGAAGGATGGTAGGCCATAACGATTGTTTTCTTGTTTGACATACACTGCACGGACGCCGAGTTCCTGCGCGACTTCGGGCAAGGGCACCAGAGGACTGGCCTGGTATCCAGGGAACTGCTCATGAAAAGCCCGGACTTGGGCCACGGGCGGCGACACTATCGTCGAAGGAGCAGAGTTGATGTAGATGGATCGCCGTTGAGGTGCCATATTGATAATGTGCAGTTGCAAGGGTTCGTTCGGGGGTTGATGCGAGGCGGCGGTTGTTGGCTTATGAATAAATGCTTCGGTCCGGCTGGCGGCTACTGCGCCTTTTGACAACATGTGCATCTCGGCATTAAACCCTTCGGCTCCATTGGAAAGAAGACCATTTGTGTGGGTATTATGTGGAGGAGAAGCGGATTGTCGCAAGAAGGCGCCGGTCGCGGGAAGGCGCAATTGTTCCACGGTCGGCGACCAGCTTCCAATATTTGAAGCCCTCCAGCCTCCACCAAACTCCCCATCGAATTGACCATTGTCGGCATTGTCAAATTAAGACCCTATACGCCGTCGCTCAGACCCAACAAGATCATGTTCAAGCCCTCATTTTCTCGGGGGTTGACCGCGACGAGCTTCCGGCGGCAGCTGTCTTCGCACGCCGGTTCCGGCTTGAAGATCAATTCCGATCGCCTGCTGGAAACTCTCCATCACACCTGCCAATGGGGTGCAGCTCATCGATATGGCGAGTGAGTATTATAACAAACCTTTCGAGTATGAGCATTTCTGACACAGTGATAGCTGCCCCACGGAAACCGGCATGAACCGATTATGCCTGACAGATGACGACGCCCGAGTCCGCCGGTGGCTGCTGGACGAAGCCGAGAAGCTGGGCTGCACCGTCACCATCGACCAGATGGGCAACATGTTCGCACGACGACGCGGGTCTCTCAAATCCCCGGCGCCCATGACGGCAATGGGCAGTCATCTCGACACGCAACCGCGCGGGGGCCGGTACGATGGCATTCTGGGCGTCATCGCTGCGTTAGAGGTGCTGCGCACGATGACAGACCACGGCTACCAAACCCAATTCGACATCGGACTGGTGAACTGGACCAAGTAAGTACAGCACAGCACATCAACTGATGCCGCTCCCCACAACATGACGAGATCTAACGCATCACAGCGAGGAGGGGGCCCGATTCCCAAAATCCATGTGCTCCTCCGGCGTCTGGGCCGGCGAGATCCCCATTCAAAACGCCTGGAAACTGGCGGATATCTTCGACCCAGCCGTGACACTGCGCTCCGAGTTGGAGCGCCACGGCTTCCTGGGCGACACCCCCTGTTCGCCCAGGGGCTATCCACTGGGGGCGCACTTCGAGCTGCACATCGAACAGGGCCCCATCCTGGAGGAAGCCAATCGGAAGATCGGAGCCGTGACCGGAGCGCAGGGATACCGGTGGCTGACGATCAAGGTGGCCGGCCGCGACGCACACACGGGCACGACGCCGCTCAGCGCGCGGCGCGACCCGGTCCTCGCGGCGGCGAAGATGATCGCGGCGTCGAACGCCGTAGCCCGGCGACACGGGGCGCTCGCGTCGACAGGGGTGTTGAAGCTGCCGCCGACCTCGTCCACGAACACCGTCGCCGCGGAGGTGACCTTCACGCTGGACATCCGGCACCCGCGCGACCGCGTCGTGCACGCCGTGCAGGACGAATGCCTGGCCGCCTTCAACGAGATCGCGCGCGAGGACGGCAAGGGCGTCGCTTTCGAGTGGACGTTGGATACCGATTCGCCCGCCGTGCAGTTCGATGCTCACTGTCTGACGGCCGTCAAGAAGGCGGCGACGCAGCTCGTCGGCGCCGACGGCTGGCTGGAGATCACCAGCGGCGCCGGCCATGACAGCGTCTACACGAGCCGACACTGCCCCACGGCCATGATTTTCGTGCCCTGTAAGGAGGGCGTCAGCCATCATCCGGAGGAGTACTGCAAACCTGAGGACTGGTAAGTGCTGGTTGCTGAGAATCTTCTGTGTTTCGGGCAGGTCGGACGTAACTGATACCCTGCAGTGCCCTGGGAACGCAAACGCTGCTGGAGTCAGTCGTGAACTACGATCGCATGAGGAGCAAGCTCGACTAGACCGCAGACTTGGGAGAGAAATAGAACTGGTCAACTCGCCCTGATCCCCACCTAATGTGGGTAGTCAAGCTACGGCGCACCTGGCCATCGCAGGCTTGAGAATCAATCGACCAGCCCGTCGGACTTTGGTACGCAACTCGGAGGCCATGCAATATCTGCCACCCAGTCCTCGTATCAGGATCTTGGGCAGGCAGAATCAAGACGAGTAAGAGACAGTCAAAGGGGCACGGCTAATTGATAAGCGACGGTGTCACATACATAAGCAACTAGCCACTCGGCCCTACGGAGCTCATATTCCAACCGATGGTGTAATTACTGACTCTGCCCCCGCTTCCAAGTCTCCGATAACGTGTTCAATACCAGGAAAGACAGCCAGTTTCTCGTCACGAGGGTTTCTGTAAATACCCAATCGTAAATTATGATTATGCCAATTAAGACTAGAACCGTGTAGATGGTCGGTATTTACAAATCTCCACAACTAAAGCAAGTGCAATCATGAGATCCATCCACCTTGATGCAATGCAATGCAACCCAACCCTAAAAAAAACCCCCCCGCCTAAGCGAGGGACTGCGTGCTAGTCGAACTGAACCTCTCAAAGCGTTTGCCGCGAGTCCGCCGGGAACCGCCCATCCACGGGGGCGTGGGCGGCAGCAGGGCATCCCCGACCTGTTCGACGGTCACGCGGCCCTTGGTCTCCTTGAAGAAGCCACTGGACGAGCCGCTCATCGAGGCCGGGCCGTGCACGAAGTAGCTGAGACTCTGGTACTTGCCCAGCCACAGCATCTGCTCGTGTTCGCGGAGGTACCGGTGGCTGGAGAAGCTGGCCAGGACGTTGTCGCGACCCTGCATGCCGAACTGACGGCGCTCCTCCTGCTTGGCGTACATGCGCTGCGAGATCGCCTGCACTTCCTCGGGGGACGGGCGCAGGCCCAGCGTCGGGGGCACAAAGCCCTCCGGGTCGCCGGCGAACTGGCTCCATTCGCCGAGCAGGGCCATCACGCGGATCTGGGCGGACGCCAGGGAGAAGGCGTCGTTCGGGGGAACGACCTCGCTGAATCGCTTGCCGGTCTCGCGGTTGACGACCACACAGAACGACGCGCCGACGTCGGTACACACCACGGGCGCGCCGGTGAGGGCGGCTTCACCCATGGCGAGCGGTAGACCTTCCGAGGTGGACGAGTTCATGAACAGCCACTGGGGCGGACGGTTAGTGATGTCGTGGGGGGTAAAAAAGATTACGCAAAAGGGAAGATACTCACAGCATCCTGTAACACCACATCTGGCTTGCCCAGACCCTTCAACACGACGTGGTCACGCAGGGACTTCGATGCAATGACTTCTTGACATTCCGAAGCGTAGCCTGGCGCACGCTCCATATCTCCGTAGATGTGCAGGCGATAGTCCTTGAAGCCCCATTGGTTGACAATCAAGTCCGTGGCCATGATGGCCGTCTTGATATCCTTGACGTAACTGTGTGTCGCGTTAGCATGATCCCCTCCGATCTTTAGTGCCAGACCCATGGAAGGAAGACTAACCGAATATGCGACAACATGACCACCGTGGGTGTCTCTGTCTTGATCTTCTCGATGGGCTTGTACCTCTCCATGTTCGTGATACCGTTGACCACCGGATCGATCTTGCGTGCAAAGGCCCGGCGATGCTCCAAGACACCCTCACACGTTCCCAGCTCGATCTCCCATCCGGGGTTGAAGTACTCCGCACAAGGGAGGACAACATCCGCATGGTGTTCGATGAGAACGCAGGACAGATGGCCGAGAGAGATGAGGGTGGAATTGACGAAGGTTGAGTCGAACGACACAGCCGCGGAGAGGAAGGTCGTCATCTCACGGAAACTGACGCAGTGATCCCAAACATGGAGTGCACACTTGCGCTTGACCTTGCAGAGCACACCGTAGTTGGCACCCGTGAAATGGTGCGATGCTTGGAACACGTCCGGAATACGGTCGGGCACCGGGACGGAGAAGATGAAGAGATCTAGAAGATGGTTAGTGATCTGTGCCTTCGAGGACAGCCAGAAGGCTACTTACAGCGGTGCCACATGTCGAGGGCTGTGTCAAGCTGTTGTAGAGTCGGCAATTCGGCGTGCCACCATTGGGAGACGGGGATGGCGCCGTCCATTTCCTCAGTCAGCCAGAGCTCGCGCCAGGCGCGCTTGACGGTGTCACTCATCCAGACATCGTTCCAGTTGCGCGAAGATTCAAAGTAGGTGTTCAGATCCACCAAGGCTTTGGTGGCTTCTTCCACATGTGCACGTGTCTTGTTGATGGTCCGGGCACACCGAACCAGGCTGGCGAGAATAGGAATGAAGTTGCGCTCGATGTCCGCAACCTTGGTGTCATGGATTTTCTGGACCACTTCGGAATCAAGGTAGTTCTGGAACATGCCGTGCGTCGGGTTCAAGAAGTCAAGACCCCATTGCGGCAAGACCGTCAGGGACTGCACGTTTCGCTCGATCTGGAATCTCGGCACACCAAAGTCGTTGGCGGCTTCGGCAAGAATGTGCCAGCGGATCCCCTTCAGGTCGTTCACCATATCTCGCCTACAGGCGGACACACCGCCTGGCTCATTGGGCCATGTGCCGGTATCCATGGCGAGAACATGAAGCTCCGTGTCAGTGTCCTGCATCTGCGTAGACAGAGTTCGGGTGTTGATACGAGACTCTCCGCCCACACCGAAACTCGATAAATCCGCAATCTTGAAGGCGATAGGGGTCCACGAGCTGATCTCCGGATCGATATCGACACGCGCCAGCACCGTATCGGCCCGTGCCTCAAGGTAATCGCCGGCCACTTCCAGCCGACCCCAGTCACGGTTGCGCCAGTAGGGCTTGAGGACACGGTCAGCACGCAACAAGATCTCATCCAGCCAACGCGCGGTGATAGCATCGAATTCTTTGCTCGCTTTCCAGGATTTCCAGAGATGTGTACGAGCGCGAGAGGTAGGGATGGGATACTTCTTGACGTTAGTTCCGAGCAGACGCGAGGCGAGGTTCACCTTCACGGAGGAGAAAGAGAGAAGCGGGTTGTCGTCGACGAAGCTGCACCTGGTCGGTTTCTCCAAAACATGGAACCAATCCTCGTGAATCATGGCCGGGGTAACAACGTCCTCCCCGTTCATCGTTGTAGCAATTATAGGGTGGAACTTGTGATCATACGTCCATGTAGCTCTATGCTTGTCGTCGCCTTGAACGTACGTGGCATCTGTCACGCGAGGATATGGGATCCACTTATCCAGCCGTTCAGGACGATGAGGCGGCGGCATACACCAGGCAACCTTGATCTTCATGTGGGGCAACTCATACTCAGCGCGCAGAAGTTCGTCGTCGAATTTGGCTCCCTTGCGGTAGTAGAACTTGAACTCCATCGGGTTCACCCCACGCATGGCAGATCCGGAAGTGATATATCCACGCTTGTCGTATTGGACGATCTGACCTGCCAGTTTGCCTTGGGTACACTGCCGTTGAATAGGCAACTTGGAGCGTGACTTAGATCCGTCCTGAGCATACTCATATTTGAATTCGTTGATCAGGTCCTGACCACGATACTCTTGTCGTCCCAGAAGCAATAGCTTGGCGTTGTACTCGTTGATGGCAACCAGGCTCTTGTAGTCACTAGGCTCCTGGTCGTGCTTTCCGGTGTATTGATAGAGTTTGAACGTGCCGTCCGATTCGGTCCGGAAGAAGCCCGTAGACACGCCGCTGAGGCCTTCCATTTCCACACGATTGTGATAGATCACAGTCTTCCAACCTTGCATGTTTCGATACAGGGTGGAGACCTTATCGCGCCCATGCACCTATTGGATGTTAGCATCATAACTGAACCCCTTTGTTGGACAAGATGAATTTGTCTTACCAGGACGAGTGGAATGATGATGCGCTGCAGCATCTTACAGAATTGCCACACAGCAGTGAGAATGACAGTGACCGGCCAGGCGAAGAACAGGGGCTGTCCTCGAAGCATGAAATCAAGCTCTCGTTGGTACTCGGGATCAGCAACCAAAGCGATAACCATGAACTTAATGCATGCGTTCCAGATTTGCTTCGTCCGAGCAAGTGACATGCGGAAAGCCTCGCCCATCCCCACGTTCGACTCTTCCGCATTCAATGCGAGGATGTCCCGGATGGGCCTGTCGTATCTGTTGCTGAGGAAGCCTTCTTGCTCAAGACCCCGGTGTTGGGCCTCCAGTGTCTTTGCATATTTTTTGACAGAGGTTGTTACTGTGACACCCAGGTTCCAGCGAGCAAGATACTCCTCAAGTCGAAGTGTTTCTGCAGCAGTCGCTCTGGCCTCGAGCCAATCGAGTTGCTGGGAAGAAACGCGACATGGCTCCCCCAAGCACCTGCGAAGCAGGAACGATCGAGCATACTGGGGCAACAGATCCCATTCGATATCACAGTCAACGCCAAGCAGCAAGTGACGGAGGATTGTCTTGGAAGAGTAGTTCAGCACGCGAGTTCGTTCCACGGAACTATTCTCGAGCTGACGCTTGACACCTTCGGGAAGGACCAATTCGTGGCCAGCGTGCCCATGTACAGCCAGAAGCTCAGCAAACATTGCATGATCATGAGACATACCAAGGCGGAACTCGGCAGTCATTTGAACGATAGCCTCCGCAATAGCCTGGCAGTTGCGTCGGATATCCGAGACCCAGTCATAGCCGACAAGATCGGGGCCGACAACAACATAAATATGGAGACGCTCGCCGGTACGACGACAGACAACACGAACCTTCTGCTCAGGCTGGATCAAGTGGGCAGCCGAGACTAACTCCACTGTCGTCTCTCCACTCTCCCAAAGCTGTGCTGCGCGGTTCAGAATATGTGTTGCAGCGGGGAATGCAGCCCGGACAAGATCGGCTTTGGGGTCTTCAGAGTGCAGAATTTGCATGACCTCTACACCTGGATGAGTCGATGGGTCAAGCTTGTACCGGAATTCGTCCGAGAGTAACGTAATGTTGTCAAACATTTGAGAGAGTGTGGACTGCGACAGGGCAGGGAAAGGTTCGAGGGAGCTGAAGCCGTGGGTGACTGAAGTGTCCTTGATCTTGACGACACTCTTCTCCTCGGGAGAACTCTTGAACAGCGACAAGCCAATATCGGCTTTGTAGAGTGTGTAGAATGCGCAGGCCCACGTTCCACTGCCCAGCCCAATAACACTGCTGTACTGAAAAGCAGGGAGGACCTCATGAAGGATGATGCCAACGACTAAGCCGATCAGGGCGCTGATGGCTAGCCCTCGGGCTACATGAGGTCCGCTGAAGATCCGGTTGTATTGGTACCAGAGAAGACCACTGTAGCAGCCAACATAGGCCAGGAACATTATGACCGAGATTTTGGCAGTTTCAAATGTCCACATGATGGCCAGCGTGATCGCTACACCCCAAATGTGGAGGAAGAAAAACTTCATCAGGTTCTTCCAATACAACCTCCGACGTGCGTTGGCATCAGTGAGGGACACCTCACGAAGACCAGCAAGCGAAGAGACGGGCTGGGGCGTGCGCTTGGTGACCGATATCCAGAGAGGCTGAGAGACCGCGTCAAGAATGACTGCACCTAGCAAGTAGTAGCCGAGCGCAAAACCAACAGTGAGTCGATATGTAGCGCTGTTTGCTGCGGACAATCCCACGATGGATTCGCCCGTCAAGAGGGCACTCCACTTGTCGGAAAGGGCCACCACAAAGTACAGGATACCACACCAGACGTCTGCACCCGTATGACGCCAGTGTAGAAAGGCGCTATGGAGCTTGAGACCTTTCTGCATCTCGCCCATAGTGTCGACTGCAGCTCTCAGTTGCAAGTTCCATGTTGGGCTGTAGGGCAAGGGCATCTTCGTCCGAGAGTAGCGGCAGTACCAGCCGAGAAGAAAGACGGTTGCTGAGTAGCCGCCAGCGAGCTTTGCGACAAACGGATCGGTTGTCTTCCGGGTCCAGAAGTGGCGGTGTCGCTCTTTCTTGACGCGAGCATATAAGGCCTGGCGTGCATCCGACCCGAAGTCTCTGACCTTCTCGTTCTGACTCTCGCTAGGGGGGACGCATTTTTGCAAGTACCATTCGACGATTTGGGTGTCGGTCACTGTGGGAATGTCGAGATACCAGCTGTTCCATTCACCCATGATGCGCCGCGCGCCAACCAGCAACGAGCCTAGGAACAGGAAAAGGAAGCAGAGATAGATGACCGAATCGCGATGCACCCATAAAGTGACGATGGGCGAAATGAAGAGGATCGGAATACACGTCATAATCACAGTTCGTCCCTGGAAATGTTAGATACAGTCGTCATCATTATCGGCTTGATGAGAACTTACCGATTGGAAGGAATAGCCTGGAAGCTGGTAGACTGAGAGCGCGGAAAGAGTCATGAGATACGTTGATAGCATCACGAAGTATAGGAAGAACAGAATTCCAGCTGCGCCCCCTTTGACCACACCTACAACGATAAGTGCAATGATGCCTCCAACCAGAGCGACCGCAAGACCAGCAACAAACCGGGTCAGGACGAACATGCTCATGGCAGGAAAGGCCATCGCGTAGAGATAGTAGCTACCGCCAGAGCTGATCCAACTGCCGAAGCCACCACAGACAAGCAGGGCGCACATCAGGGCGGTGGTGGCCAGCGTCTTGTCCACGTCGCTCATGTACGTGGTAAGGTAAAGACCACGGCCGACAGTGGTGAGCATTGTGACATCAATAAGCGCGGGAACGGCAAAAATACCCAAGAACGTGAACCTATAATGCCAGGGAATATTATTTCGGTCGCCTTTGGGATCAAGATCGACATTCATGGAAGCGTATGCTGTGGGAAGCTCTGTGAAGCCTTCCTCCCGCTGGGGTGGTTGGTACTTGTGATAATATGCCCGGTACCATTTCCAGATAATCTTTCCCAGTCGCTTAGGGGTCGTGTCGAAGTACATGTCAGTGCGCGCACCACAGGCATACATCTCGGTAAAACACGAGGCCTGCACTGCATCCTGATTCGGCAGGGGATTCCGGTCCAGAACTTCCAAGTAGATCTCATTCAATGCCAGGCGACGGAAGGCGCAGAAGATACAAAGGGCGAAGAAGTCCGCACTCGCATCAATCTGACCTTTCTGGAGAGTGGTCTGCGCCACATCCTGAAGCCTTGCTAGGATATCCGCCTCGTTGTCAACCAAGACTTCAGGCAGCCGAGCATCAATCTCCAGGAACAGTGCTGTGGCGACCTCGGGATTTAAAGACCAGCATCCTTGTTCCTGGTACCATGCCAACCGAGAGGCGACGAGTTCTGCAGCGGAGATCTCCTCATCGAGATACGCGCTCGAGGTCAAGGCTCGGCGCTGGGCGTGAGAAGGCGCGTCCACGAGCTGGTACTCACTGCAGGCCCGCAGCTTCGCACAGAGCATGGAAGAGCCACTGCCCTCAGATGCGGCCAAGCGCCGATGCCATGCAAGATTTTCAGCGGGTGTGAGCTGTTCGATGTCTTCGACCCACCGTTGAGGCATATTCCATTCCTTGGACAGAGACTGGTTCTCAGCGGCCAAGACCATTTCCATAATCAGACATTGGGTGCGGGTGAATCCGCGACCGGAGAGATAGGCGTGCAAAATGGTTCCAGTGCGGTCCAGCGTCTTGCCGTTGACGTAAAGATTCAGCATACCGATGTGGGGATCGAGATCCAGCAAACCCCAGACCTGAGTGCCCAGACGCGTGCGGAAGCCAGAGTGCAGCCCAACGTAGACTCGGAGGCGGTCATTATCATCACCTTTGCTGACACTCAGGAGGTCAACAAGCTCTTTAGTGGCTGCGATGGCATCGGAGAGGTCGGGATAGGTATCCTGTGCCTTCTGGAGAGTGCGGATTGAAGCGGCGAATCCCCGAAGCTGTTCCGGCTTGAGGCGTTCGAGCAGGTCCAAGTCTCGCAGATGGCGCTGGGTTTCGAGAACATCGGTGATGTTTTCTGAGGTACAATCCAAGCCGAGATGAAAACATCCGAGTTCATTGTAGGTGACGCCATCGGGGGAAAACGACAGAGGATCGATGTGGGGATTTTCGTCCGCAACCCTGCATTCGAGACCATTGACGGACAAACCAGGACTTGGAAGAGCAAGACTGGTAGTTGAGGGGGGCTGCAGAGACAATCTGGTGTTGAGATTAGGGATAAAGGAATCGAGCGCGTCGAAGAGGGGAGATGCATTGCCAGAAGATCCAGAAGATGTGGGGGAGATGGAGATTCTGTTGTTGTTGCGCCACACGTCATGTGCTTCGAGCACCTCGCCGCGCTTCAGCCACATCATGGCACCGAGAGGTTCATGCAAAACGGTTTCAGCCACGGCTATCTCCGCGTTGGTCAATCCTGCCCGAGGCCCGATGTAGATCATTGCACTGTTGTAGTTGCACCATTTGAACGTGCGCCCAATGACATGGTGCGACACTGTCACTCCATCATCGACACTGTCCCACATCGCTAGAGTCGAATCTCCCCGAGCCTTTTGCGCCGCCACCACACGCATCGCAGCCCGCATCTCCGCCATCTGGAAGTAGTTGCGTCGGTCTCCATCGGGTAGGATGGTTCCGTTGCGATAGACAATTCCCCGCACCTGCTGCATGTTGATCTCGCGGCATTGCTTCTCCCCAAGATAATCTGGCGGGGCCAGCTCGAGCCAGACGTCTAGTCCCAGGTCATTGATGTACTTGATGAGCTCGTTCAGAACGACGGGCTGGAAGTGAGCGTGGAACTCGGCTAGGAGCACTCCGTGGAAAGGAGCAGTTGATCCCGGTTGGCGCTGGAATTTCGTTGTCAGGGTCTGCACCACCGTGGTCAGAGCTTGGATAACTTCGTCATTGCTGCGACTCGCATCCGATTGCACCAGGCTTTGTACTTCGAGCCGGCCGAGCACATGTGGAGAGGTGCAATGGCCGGTGAGGGCATTCGCGACCCCCGGTTGAAGGGGGTCGACGACAAGAACATCCCATTGCGAAAGTAGTTGTGCCTCCGCTGGAGTAGGTGGGTTCGAGAAATACCCCAGGAACACACCGAAAGATTTGAGGTCGCGTTTGGCCGATTTCTCGCACAAGGGTGCAGAAGACTTTCCAGTCTTCAGCTGATCGAAGTAGCGTACAATGGCACTTGGTACCTCGGAGAGTTGATGACGTTTCTGAGGAAAGATGAGCAGGGTGGCCCGGGATCAGTGTATTAGAAGATTGCGAAGAAACACATACCTGCCAAATTCCATGGAGCTTTAACACAATGTAACCCAGAATAAAGAGTGAACCAAGAACGATCGTGGCTAGTAAGCAGAATGCTAGGACCTGCGCAAACAACGTTAGGGAAGAGAACCAAGGGCTCGTCGCGATCATCCCAGCAACAACGCACCTTATCCCACCAGGTCGATGTCATGCGATTCCATCCTACGGCATCGAGGCCCAGGTACTCGGGACCTGCCATGGTGATAGGAACAGCGTCAAGCGCCTGACATAAACCCTTTCCTCACCACAAGGGGGCACCGTGGACTATTATCTGCGGCGACTCTAGATGGAGTCCGATTAAAACGAATGTGACGACTACAGCCCACGTATCCCACTCGCGAGGTACCAGGGGAGGAGTGTCAGCCTCTCTAATACTTTTAATTTACCCTATTTATAGCAGGTACATGGCTATCTATCTATGGCGGCGGCGTGCCCGCAACCAGAAGGATCTAAAGGCTGGCTTGTTTGAATGAATGAATGTAAGCTGTAGTGTACTGTAATATTGTCTGGATCTTATTTTCATTTCTAGGGTCTGTTTTTTTTTTTTTTTTTTTTTTTTTTGGTTCCTTGTTTAAATGATTTATTATTATTTTTTCTGGAGAGTGATCCGTTTTGCTACTCCATCTGGCTTGGGGGACCCAGTTATTTTCCCTCCCACTCCCAGGACGTGCTGCCAACAAATCTCCTCCAGCGCCAGGCTAGTGGCCCCAAAAGAACGCTAGCAATAGGTGGACTGCATGTCTGACTCGACCAAAAATTACGGGTCTCTTATCATCCTTATTGCGTGCCGGTGTCACGTCGTTGAACCTAAGAATACTAGCCACTGCGATCGAGCGATGGCGATGGGATGTCTCAGTCGAATGTTTGGATGCCATGACCACCAACGCCGCACAGGTAACGCCGAGCACCATCGCAGTCTCGTCTACAAAGAAATTTTCTTCCGCCATGTTGAGGTCGGAACCTAGGCTAGGCCGCTCACGAACTGGTCTGGATTTGGATTTCACCGTTTTTATAACCTGCGCAGTGTGCCTGCCATCTCTCCCAACCCCCAAGAAAACCACACCTGCGAACCCTGAAGCCAATCCCAATCTCCCTTCTGCTCCCTGAAAAACTACTCCGTACTTCCGTTTCGTTTCCCCACGGTTCTGGCTAGCTGGTGCATGGATGCCTCGCCCAAATCTTAATCGCCCGCGGCGGCCCTGGTGCATTGCCATTGCCATTGCCGTGGCCGTAGTGGTGATCGTGGTCATTGTGGTGCCATGTGCCGTCATTTTGACCCGGAAGAAGCATCACGCAAAGCAGACCAACGTGCTGTACCCTTTGTACATCTACCCTACCAACAGCAGCACCTGGAGTCCCCTGTATAAGGAGTGAGTTGTGGCCTGTCTGCTTCCGTTTTTCTTCCCCCTCTTCTAGACCCTAGACCCTCATTGACCCTCCGCCCCAGAATCACTGAACGCCCTGATCTAAATTTCACGGTGATCATCAATCCCTCAAGTGGACCGGGGAACACCACGTATCCAGATGAGGCGTATAGCACCGAAGTCGAACGCCTCGCGAGCTACGCGAACGTTCGCCGGGTGGGATATGTGCGCACTGGATACGCGACCCGCAACATCTCCTCGGTGTTGGCCGATGTATCAACCTATGCGGGGTGGGCGAACCAGTCGGCTGACTTAGCTATGGATGGGATTTTCTTCGATGAAGCGCCCTACGTTTACTCGACGGACAAGGTCGAGTATATGAACACCATCAACGCGGTGGTGAAGAATTCCACGGGGCTGCAAGGGGAACGAATGGTAAGAAGAAGAATTCCAGGCACGAGGAAGGGGTGAGGGGTGAGGGGTTTTGGGATCGATGGAACCAGGATTTTGGATTCTATTTTTCACATTTGTTTTCTCGGACAGGTCCAGCGGCTAACGTCCCACACCCTGGGTTTTTCTCAGGTTATCCACAATCCCGGCACCATTCCGGATAGTCGCTATAACTCCAACACAACCGACGTCACTGTGGTATTTGAGAGCTCGTACGATGATTACCACACACAGAAAGGCAAGCTCAATGCGCTGGCGTCCGACCGTACCGGGTACAGCTACATGCTGCATTCGGTCCCCGAGATGGGGAACAGTACTCTGCGGAGCCTGGTGGACCAATTGAGTCTTAAAGCCGAGTACTTGTTCCTGACGACGTTGACGGAAGATTACTACGAGAGTTTTGACCCAGCGGGGCCCACGATTATCGACCTGATGCCGAGTTGATTGATAGATCCAAGCAATCACGCACTGAGCAGCGTGGGTGAGAGAATGTGAGTCTGTGAGAGAGCGAATTGTGTCGATCGACCCACGAGTAGGCCGGCGGCCCCTAGGCGAGCCCCACCACAGCCTTGGGAAGACGAAACGGGAAGCGTCGTCACTAATGATTGGTGAGAGATATGGTGGACAGGGGGTAGGAAAGCTTGGATGCAATTGAATTGGTCAGTTGAAGTGGTTGATGGGTGGTGGGGGGGGCTGCTGAGAGGGGAGGAAGGACTGAGAAGCGTGATTACTCGAGTACTGAGTGAGTAGATAGGTGGTGGGTTGGCAGGTTCTGGCCCAAGGCACGACAGGAACAATATCGACGGAATCGACGGAAAACATGATAGCGTTGCGGACTAATTGACTAAGTATGCGGACTATGAGGACTAAGCGCACTAGAGACGCACTAGCACGGGCCTCTTTCAATGTTTTACTCACTAATAATCTCATTCTCATGTCTTGTCATCGTCATGATTTTTCTGGTGGCTGCCTGGGAGTTGAGTGCCGAGTCTTGGCTGACAGGTAGGCTGAAAGCTTTTCACAAGCCTCCCAAGGTTCTCTTTTCCTCAACCACGTTGTCTCTCTCCCCCATCCTTGAATGACTTGGAAAATCCTCCTAATCTCCTACGATCCTAATTTCTCAATAGCCCCAACTCCCTCACCTGGTACTCCGTACTGTTCCTCAGTCTGTCTCTCCTTCCTTTCTCGTAATCGCGTTCCCTGGAAGTTTGGTAATCATCCTAGTTATAAGAAGCTGAACCAGGAACACTGACAAATAAACCTGGTTTATCACGGCATCATCATCATCATCATCATCATTTTCTTACCCTCTCCCCCCCCCCCCTATTCCCGCCATCTCTGATTACTCCTCTGTTCCTGTGCCTGCACCTTATCCTGCACCCTCCTTTCTCCCGCTCTTGCGCTCTCGGCCAACCATGTCATCCACGCCCCTTCCCAAAGCTGGCGTGCTGGTACCTTTGTATATCTATCCATTGCCTAATAGCTGGGATCCACTTTTTGACGCGTAAAGTTCTCCGTTTTCTTCTTGGTTTTTTTTTTTTTTTTTTTTCGTCTTGATTCCTTTTTCTCGTTATTTTGACTTTGATGACACCCTTCGCCTAAACACCGCGGCCCCATCCCAAGGGTTTAGTTTTTCCTTGGTTGTATTTTCGCTGTTCTCTTGGTTCCTGCATCATCGGGGCTGGAATTCATTTTCTCCGCCAAGGTTGAGTTTTCTTTGGATGATTTACCCACTCTAACTTAACCATCGATCACCACTAGGATTAAGACCCATCCCGATCTGGAATTTCTGGTGATCATCAACCCCAACAGTGGCCCCGGGGGTATACCTTCTCCCGATCCGCATTATGCACGCGAAGTGGCCCGTCTGAACAGCTATCCGAATGTTTACCTAATCGGTTACATCCGTATTGACTATTGCCGAAAGCCTTTGCCCGAGACCTTGGCGGAAATCGATCGCTATGCGCATTGGGCGACCGACGAGCGCCCAGGACTAGGGCTAGGGGGCATTATGGTCGACGAGACTCCTAACCATCATACTGCCGAGCGAGCCGAGTATCTACAGACACTGCACGAGTATGTCAAATCCGTGGAGGGCATCCTTCGGGATCGATTGGTAAGCATCCCATCTCATTCCATTCCGTCCACTCTGGTTTCTCTGCCGTCCCCTTCGTACTGTACTCGTTTGTTTGCCTGTATGTACGGAGTACATCACGGATCCATGATACCGTACAACGGGTACAAACACAGTAACTACTTCCGTACTCTTACGCCTCACCACCTACACTACCTCACCACACTACTGTCACTACACTACACTATCATCCCGTGTGGCATTGGCACGGTCCTTTATCACGGACTGTCATTTGTCTTATCAGTGAAACCAGACGAATAAGTCTTAGTTGTTTCCGAGCCAATTTCTTACCATCCTTTCATCCTGACAGGTTGTCCACAACCCGGGCACGCCGCCTGACCCTAAGTTGGCCGATCCGAGCCCGGATCTCATCCTTGTCTGCGAAGAGCCCTATCCTCGTTATCGCTCCGACGAGGTGCAGCGCTATTATGCGCAATTTGACTATCCTCGGGTCCAATGCGGCTACATGATTAGTGAGGTGCCACGCGACGAGGTGCGGTCCCTGGTCCAGGACTTGCGCCATCGTGCTGCCTACATCTTCGTCACCGAGATTGCAGGTGATTTTTACGAGCGTTTTGGACCTCAGAGCTGGGGAATGATGATGGAGGCCCTGCGGTTGGTCGAGTCCGACCAGTAAATTAGCTATGTAGTTAGGTAGTTACTAGGAAGAAAGTTGAAACATGAACCAGTGGAGATCCGAGGGAGTAAAAAAACCAGCGGGACCCAGCATTTCCCAGCCATGGCCCATGAGTCGCCATTGCCAGTATTTTTCCTCAACCATATAGTACTCGCTTCGCTCAAAATGTCGTAGCTTGGATGTCCAAGCTTTAGCGTTGGTGGAGCCGGATGGAGCCCTTTCGGGATGTATCAATTTGGCTCATTGATCCGGCCCGTCAGAGAGACGGTCCATCTGGCAGAACCAAGTCCTCTGTAATGACGATGGACAGCGATGTATCTCTTCGCCACATCCATGGGAAGCACGCCATGTTGCCTGATGGAAGTGCAGGAACACCTCACGCCCGGCCATTTATACTGACCATAGCGATGCGTTGTCGCTGCACCTGTGAGACATTTGGAGCTGACGTTAGCTTAGAATCTTTAGTATAGTATCGTCATGCCTAAGGTACTCCCTTGACTCTGTGTTCTTGCCTTTGTCTTACTGCGTTGGTCATGTTTCTTTGCGTTCACATTTTAGTCTCTCTGGTCATCTTTTTCATCCGGGTGGAGCCCTCTTTACAGTCTGGGCCCTTC